CAGTGGGGTGGACTGTCTTTTGTTTTTCACCATTGCAAAGGTAAGCATAGCTTGTGCAACACTTCCCAATGTTGAAAATGGTGAGACAATCAACCCAAAGACCAAAATTTATCATCTGTATATTATGTATGTTCTAATTGTTGAGGACAAGATGTTTGGGCCAACAATTATTAAACAACTAGTGCCCCCATATTTTTAACCTCTGTCCACCGGCCCACCCCATGAACAAAACCGGCTCTGAAGCAAGCAGCGTGTACCGGTCGATGAAAAGAATTCGGTCTCATTTGGAGGTGCCTTGCATGCAAGCCAGCCCCTGGTGCCAACTACATCCACAAGATCATGCCAGCTGGATATATATATAATAACATCTAGATCTCTATTTTAATTAGATATATTATATACATGTCTACTTATACTTGCTGCTTGTTGCATAATTTTGATGGATCAAGAACATACAATGGCCCACAAAATAGATATGTATGACTTCATAAAGGGGTATGAGGCCTTGGTCTCTTCATAATGGTGGCCCTTTCTTCAGGAGAGTGGACCGGAAAATGTTCATGCTGAAACTGCGAAGCTTGGGAGATTGTGCCCTGGAAATGAAACACGAGACTGGTGGAGAGCTCATAAAATACCTGTAGTGTCTTGGTTAGGCATTGAGTGAAATATACTTTCTTGTTTGTCCCCAATTATGGATTTATTATTTAATTTCCAAAAAATATATAATATGCTGTACATTCTTTTGCCATGGCCCATGGCAGTATGATGTCGAAGCAAGGAACTTGAATACATATGGGTCCCAGTTTCTGACGAAAAAGTGCCGCATGGCTACAGGATTGAGAAGCAGCCTATATTGTTTCCCCACCGCATCATTGGATACCTATTCAACGAGTGTGGTCTTGATATCCCAGAGGCAGCCATTCAACAATTCTGGGACAATGCAATAGCTGATGGAGAGACATATGCCAGTCATGATTCGAGAAACCGTATACCGTTGGGCTTCTATGGAGATGCAGCTCAACTGATCACAAAGGTTCGCATCGAGAAATTGATATGCTTCTTCTGCAACATCGTTATTTTTCGACCGAAATCGATACGGTATTCAAGGTTCCTCTTATGGTCTTGTGACACCTCACTGCTTTACAAAAATCGGACGGCAAATACCATATTGCGGTGGCTGGTTTGGTCCTTCAATGCCCTGTATGAGGGAATATATCCTGTTGCCCGACCAGGAAACAGACCACTGGAGGCTCATGAGAGGAAACTTGCTGGCCAATGGTTGACCCACAGAAGACATCTATTCCAAGTTGTCGAACTTCGTGGAGATTGGGAATTCCATAAGTTGATTTGGCAATTCAAATGCTCCTGGAAAGGTGGTGTCAATGTGGGAATTTGCTATCGTTGTCCGGCTATGGGCCGGTGTGATGATGCCGACTTACTTTATTGGAATATGGATGATGAAAACAGTTCATGGGCAAGACAAGAGTTTAATACCACAGACTACCTTGCCAAAAGGCTTCCTGCAAACAATATATGACCCTCGGTCTTACTATTCTTATTAGTGTTGTCTTTTTTTGGGGGGGCACCATGGGTAAACCGCCCAACCACCAAAGCCCAAACCACTTTTGGGACTACTCCACCATTATTACCATGAGAACAAAGTATGGGATGTGCAGCCATCAACACAAGTGAATTTGTTTGGTCCTCTCAAAAAATCCCAAACCTGTCATAGGGGTCCCTGGCTATGTGAGGTCCTTTGCTTCGATTGCAGAAGTTCGACGTCTCGTGCATCAAATTTTGCGTGATGCATGTTCTGAATTTAGGCTTGCTGATGAGTTTGAACGGAGGGGCCCTGACCCTTAGCTGAACCCAAGTTGTTTCTGCCCAGGTACAGTGGCAGGTCTTGTTGCATTGCCACGAAGACTACCAGCACCATGTGACTTCAATTAAGACGATGTTACACCAAAAAATAAGGTTTTTCGTGGTGTCTCATCGCCTCAATTGAAGTCACTATAGTGCGTGCATGTCCTGCCAAGAAAAGGGGATATATCAAAGGGATTCATGGATATTTTCTTGTAAGGATGCAATGGAACCGATTTGGTAATTCAACATGCCCCTTATTTTGAGATTCATTTGCAAACATAGATCAGGACAATGCTTTGTGAAGAGTTGGAATACTGGGGACCTGGATCGTTCCAACAACAATTGGACAAAGCCTACCAAGATTTTGTTGCTTTTTGCCGGGCACGCAAGCTGGACCAGTCTCAGCCGCCTTTCAAAGAGTCAAAAGCCACTCGGTTTAAATTTATTGTTTATATACCTGCCAGGCCTGGTTATACTGAACCACCTTGGTTTTGGATATATTAGCAACCCCATGCGACCCTTTAAATTTGACATTGTGTTTAAAAAAACATTTTGTTTTAATGACATGTACAGTACATCATATATTCATCATATTATATCAAGTAGGTTGCAATACCACTGCAAAGACTAGCTGGCCAACATTTTTTTGCCCATCAAAGGTGAAAATTTACACTGGCGAGATTTCACTCAATGCGAAGGCTTGGAACGGCCGGGTGATTTGCGCTTGGCTGGCAGAAACTATGCCCCTAGCTGCTAGAGGATATCCTGCTGAATACGACGAAGGTCGTTTGACTTTGGTATGTTACTCTTTGAATCTTGACCCAATCTGGGGTTGGCCATACCCGCTTGAAACCTGCAAACCGGAGTTTGTTTTGTGTGGGGTCCCAGCAACTGTCCTGCCAGACCAGCAGTAGGTTGCCATCCCATTGCTCAGGAAATGCATGGCCAGATTTTTCTGGCTGTGTGAATCGAACCCTAGACAGTTGATTCTTGATTGTAATTATTAGTGATCAAATATTTTGGACACCCCAAGGCCATTTTTTTTTGCCCAAGAAAGTAGATGTTCGCATTTAGGGGCGATTTTAGGGGCATACTAAGGGGAATTATTTTGTTTCTTAGCAACAATGCGAGGTCACAGGGTGCAGCTGAAGCAATGTATGCCAAAGGGCGTGGATTCCTGCGATCATTCAAACATTTGGGTTACATCAGTATCCACCAAAGGAAGCAAACATTTTTGATGAAGCCCAAATTCCATGTTTCTCAGCTTTGATTTTCAGATTCAATTATTTCTTTCTGGTTTCACCTCTGAAAAAACTAGATGATTTGAACAGTTTAGGCGATGCTTTAATTTGTCCTAGGATTTGCAATTCACCCAAATTTATGACTTATGATAGCTATAGCTGGAACATATTTTGATGGTTAAAAACCATCAATAGACTTGAGATATATTAATTTGGGGAGGGTTGCTACTGAACCGAGGCTTTTTTGCATGTGTGCCGCGATTTGCGCAGAACCAGAGCCTTGTGCAAATGTAGATTGATGGGATGGAACCAAATGGTTATGCTATGCCACCAGCACTAGCTAGATGATCTGCTATTCTTTCCATTTTTATATTCGGCTTATGGGGTCCCAACACCAGACATATCAAGCGTCCACTGGGGACTTACATCACAATTTAGGGAATATACAGATCGACAATTATTCCTACATATCACCATGGCCCCTGGGAACACTAAACCCTTGGTACAAATATGACATCATTATTCCACCGGAGAATCACAATTTTTAGTCTAGAGGGAAAGCAATCTAAACAGTTGGGAGCAAAATGAACCCCATCGGTTCCATAGATACATCATATCTATACTATCTATATGTCTATCTATGCAGTATATATTATATATATAATATTGCGCGCTATTTGCATATATCGCGATATATACCCTGGAAGTCCTGGAAGTTTCTTCTTCAAAACCCGTCCACTTAGGGAAGATTCCTCGATACTTCCACACGTTTGCTGACGAGGATGCTATGCGTTGGAGCAAAAGCCACTTGTAGAATTTAGGAAGCAGCAACATCCGACCATCATCACGTACACAATGTTTTGTATGTGGGCCCAACCCAACACTAAAACATCTAGTGGTCGATGCTACTTACCTGCTGAGGTGTTGCAAAATATTCACATCCCAGAAGAAGACCACTGTGGCTTCTCAAGTGCCAACGGTTGAGGTGCAAAATTGGTTGATAGGTGAATTCATATGTGAATTTGCTTACTGTAATTACCTCTTGCGCGGGTATTTTTGTCTTCAACTAATGTGCCAGGCTGAAAGCCACATACTACAAAATGGAACAGCTGCTTGATATGCACAAAGGCTATGGTCAAACCATACTGCAATGGGAAATATGTTTTCAATGGGTGTTTTCGCCGTTTGGTTCTTTTACAGCATGTGCTAGTGCTAAACAAAGCACCTGCTGGGTTCCGAGGCTTCTGGCTCGTGGTTTCCGCTGATCTGTGTCACCGCACTGGAAAAAAGAAGATTCAACCCTGGGAAATGGGAAGAACATGTGACTCAGAAAACCCCATTCTGAGGAAAACCGTGGTTGTTGGAAAACCGTGGTTGCGGGAAAGACTATTTAAAAAACCGTATCTGGACTTCCAGGGTATATACAATGTAAATATATACACATATATCTATAGAGTGTATATATATATATAAATACAATATATACAGATGGAGGTCTCCTAAAATGGTGTCACCTTTTCAATACTAACATAGTCTAGTTTTGAATGATTTGGGATAACACCATTTTAGGAAGCCCAGTATATATACATATAAATACATGTGTATATATATATGTATATATATATATGTATATATATATATAAATATGCATATATACATATATCTATATATATATATATATATTTACATATGTATATACACATATATATATATATATACTTATGCGTATATATATATATATGTAATTACATATATATATATAATATAAAGTACATATTATACTATAATTATAATATATTATAATTATAATCATTACACCCCTTTCCCATCTAACAGTAAGGATTTCGTGCCCCTCTGCCCCTTTCAAGTGTATTTCTGCGCTGCTGGCCATAGCTCTCATCTCATGGCCTGAAGCGCAGCCGCGCAGCCGTAGTGGCGACCCTAAACTGGTATAGGTTTTAATGGCCTTTTACCATAGGAAAACCATAGGAAATTGGTGGTTTAAAGACTTTTTATGGTGGTTTAATGGAATTTAATGGGATTTACCCTCTGGTAATTTAACATAGATACGGAAAATCACCACTTTAATAGGTAAATCCTCTATAAATGGTCCATTTTCATAGCTATGTTAGTTTACTGGAGGGTATTTTTATAGTTCTCATTCCATGAATGGGCTGACTTACTGATTATCACGTAAAAGGGCCATAGCTGTAGGTGCAATAGCTATGCGTCCAATAAGAGAAATGATCACCAGCAGATGTAGAGGTATATATCCCATGTTCAGACATAGCCATATTCTCCGTTACCCTCTGGTAAGCGAACATACCGAACTGGAAAACCACCATCTTTATAATAGGTAAATCAACTATAATAAATGTGCCATTTTTCAATAGCTATGTAACAGTCATTACCAGAGGATAACTAGCTGTAGGGTAACCAACGAAAAGATACATCGCGGCGAATCTGCGACGACCCGACAAAATATTGGTTGGTGGTTGAGCCCTACCCCTCTGAAACATATGAAAGTCAGTTGGGAAGGATTATCCCATACATTATGGAAAACATGTTTGAAACCACCAACCAGATAATCATGTTCGTTATTAAAACAACCATTTGGGAGTATACCTTTAAAATCCTTTAAAGGTATACATCATTTTCAGCCACCATTCGCCATGTCTAAAACAGCCACCATAGCCGACCATAGCCTGTAGCTTTCTGAGAAAGTTCTCATGCGCTTCCAGATAAAGCTGTTGACAAGGAGGCTTGTAGTAATGACATCCTGCGTCCGGCTCATCTGTGCATGAGATAACCGCAGAACAATAGCGTTGTACATAGAAAAAGAGGAATGCATATCTCCAGTGGCTAAACAGCGCACCAATGGACATTTCACCTAGAATGTGTGCCTAATCAAAGAAAACTGGGTACGTATTAGCTACACCAATTTAGGACCATACAATGGAAATGCCAACAATATTACAAGATATTACAAGGTGATGCCCCCGTTCGATAGCTCAGTTAAATTGTATATGTAGTAATATAACTTGGTTAACCAGGTTTCGTGGGGGATATGACTAGTCTCGTCTGTATTCATTCATGTTTTTTTTCCAGCGAACCAACATCTTCATCTCACGAAAAATCAGGTAAAATCATCAGTAAAGGTTACCATCTGGTTATGACTAACATAGCCATGGGAAATCATCTATTTCTATGGGCCATCTATACCATGGCTATGTTAAATAACCAGAGGGTAAGTCTCATCAGCATTTCTGGCTGAGTCGTCCCATAAACCCAAGCAACAACATGTTTCATCACCACGTCTCACCATTTCCGGCTGATTCCCATCAAATTTTGAGCCAACAACACATCCAACACGGTGAATCTATGGGCCTCAAATCCGGATTTGCCCCGTCCTGGATGATGTTTGATGAAGTCCCCTTCCTGCCACTCTCGCGATGCCACCGTCGCTGCTGTGGCAGCATGGAAGGACTGCAGATGCTCCTCGGGTCAGAGCTGTGGGAATTTAAGTTACATAGCTACAGTTGACTATGGAAAATGGCACATAACTAATCCCATGGCTAGACATGATTTACCTAAAATGGTGATTTTATCATAGCTACCTGAGAGTACCAGAGGGTAAACAGGATGGAAACAAGCGATATCAGTGATCAGCATCAAACATTGGTAGCTGGATCTATTTGGTGGCTCAAAGTAGCCATTTGTCGATGATTTCCTGTAGAATTCTGATGGGTGGATCAATCGAATTGAGGATTTCGACAAAAGAAAGACATGTCACCCCAACAAATGTGTTGTATTTGTTTGTAATTTGGTTGTGTATTTTTTGTGTATGTTTTGATTTTTTAATGATTACAGAGGTTACAGGCTGTAGCCAGCACCCGACTACTCAAGTGGATCTCAAAAACAATCGCAGGCCAACCTGCAACCAGCAAGCAGCTAGTGATCTACAAGCCAACTTTTACATGGACCCATGTCCCTGGAATGCAGTGGATTTACCCGTTTCGGTCCCGTCGTTTTGTTCCGCAAGTTTCATAGGGAATATCCATGAGTATCTCATATGTTCCACATGTTCTGAAAAAAGACTCCTGCGAAAATCATCTAAAATATCTATATAAATCCCAATGAACGTCATGCTTCTCCATTCAAGTATGGCCCTTCAGAGTTATTTTCATGGGATTGTAACTCCTGCAGACTCCTGCACCTGCTTGGTTTTATATATATATATATCACTTAAATGAGGTCAGTTAGCCAGTAAGAACATGTATCTTACCTGGCAGGGATCTTTTTTGGGCTATACCATCTGGTTGGTGGTATACCTACCCGTCTGAAAAATATGAAAGTCAGTTGGGATTATTATTCCCAATATATGGAAAATCTTAAAAGTCATGTTCCAAACCACCAACCAGTTATGATATACCGATATACCATTTATAATGGTTATAAATATATATATATATAACCCTATAAAATTTCTATGAAATCCGATTAAATCCCTATTTGTTGCTGGTTCCAGTCACCACCAACCATGCGGCGACTCCTGTGCTGCCACACGCACTTGAGGCACCCAGATGGGAGCTTCCACCGAGTCCCAGGAATCATCGATGGTCATGCTGTTCTCCTGGGGAAAAAAAGGGCTGAGTGGGTGATGAAAAACCCATGAAAAAATGGGGGAAATGGAGTTTGAACTCAGAAATAATGAACACATTTTTTTTTTGATTTATGATATCTGTTTGTTGGTTTAGGTTGGTTTGGTTCACTACAAAAGCTGTTGGATTAATGGATGTTGATTAAGGGGATATATCGAACTAGTTGGGAACGGCCCTGATCGGCGTCTGGTGGTTTTAAGGGCGTACATTTCCCATTGGAATTGCGTATGCAGCCCTGCAGCGCCCATGGCAACTAGTAAAATGGGATTATAAACCTATGTGCCCCTCTAGTAAAATGGGTTATAAACTAGCAAAATGGGTTATAAACTTACAACCTTTGGGGCCCCCACTATGTACCCTCCAAGAAAAATTACTTTACTTCGTGTGATCCCCACCATGACATTTATACATTTTCTTACTGGCAAATCTTCTGGCATTCTATCTGACATATCTTCTGACATTCTATTTAGCATTCTATCTGGCATATCTTCTGGCATATGATCTGGCATATCTTCTGGCATATCTTCTGGCATTCTATCTGGCAAATCTTCTGGCATTCTATCTGGCATATCTTCTGGCCCTCTATCTGACATATCTTCTGGCATTCAATCTGGCATTCTATCTGGCATATCTTCTGGCATATATTCTGACATATCTTCTGGCATTCTATCTGACATATCTTCTGGCATATATTCTGACATATCTTCTGGCATATCTTCTTGCATATCTTCTGACATATCTATCTGGCATATCTTCTGGCATATTTTCTGGCATTCTATCTGGCAAATCTTCTGGCATTCTATCTGGCATTCTATCTGGCATATCTTCTGGCATATTATCTGGCATTCTATCTGGCATATCTTCTGGCATATATTCTGACATATCTTCTGGCATTCTATCTGGCATTCTCTTTGGCATTCTATCTGGCATATCTTCTGGCATATCTTCTGACATTCTTTCTGACATTCTTTCTAACTTTCTTCTGCCATTCTTTGTCCCATATCTTCCTACATGAGGTCCGGCAGGGAACACTTGGCGTGGATACTCGCGGTTGAGGTCCGGCAGGGAACACTGGGCGTGGATGGTCGTGGTTGAGGTCCGGCAGGGAACACTGGGCGCGGATGGTCGTGGTTGAGGTCTGGCAGGGAAGACTGGGCGTGGATGGTCGTGGTTGAGGTCCGGCAGGGAACACTGGGCGTGGGTGGTCGTGGTTGAGGTCCGGCAGAGAACACTGTGGATCGCGGGTCGCAGTTGAGCAAGGACGACGAGGACGACGAGGACGACGAGGACGACAAGGACGACAAGGAGGACGAGGAGGAGGAGGAGAGGAGGACGAGGCAGGAGGAGGAGGAGGAGGAGGAGGCAACTGACATAAAATCTAACAACCCTCACCTGGCAGGTGGGGAATAAACAGTGTGCTATGGAAACCACGGCCGATTGAGTTCGATGATTGAACCTATTGGACGCTTAAAACATATGATTTTCTGTGATTAGACACGTTAAATCACCAAACAGTAAACCTTTACAAACTCATAGGAACATGACATCATCAAACAAAAGCATCCGTCAAACTTGACAAATGGACACTAAACTCGCAGAATCCAGGATGAGCAAGTCGATTTTATCATGGGCAAAGAAGCACTCGTGCACCATGTTCCGTGCAGAAGGAGGGTGCTTCGAGCTCCAACTAGATCTATATCATTATATAACCATAGGACCATAGGGGCCACATATCCCAACGTATGGTGGATACTACTATATGGATATATATATATAGATACAGTATATATATATGGCTACAATTACAGCCATAAACAAAAAACAGGAAGCACGCGGATCCAAGTGTCGTATAGAAGCTGATGTTGCATGGTCGACTGATCACTACCTTGGCTCCAAGTTGCGCGTGCAGCGTGTAGCAGGGATGAACATCTTAGGTTAAACACTGGCAAACACATACAATATAGATAATATAGTAAAACATAGTAAAACCATGAAACAAAGTCAACACAGTCAAAACAGGGACTTCTCTGAGTCGTTCTCTTCCTGCTTGAACCTCCATGTGTCGAACGTTGCCAATTTTCAAGGTTGAATCCTTAAGGGTCAATGTCATTGTCTGAGTGTCAACGAAAAAAGGACCCTTAAACGCATCTTCTGAAACGTCCACAGACACACAATATATGAACTATGAACCATATGAACTCACATATTTGTTTGACATGTAAACATATGCCTAGCTCATGCGTGGTGGCACTTTCCATTCAGAAAAATGTTGGTGAAAAACAACACTTCCTCACATCTTCCATTGTTTCAATCTCATCTGTGGTGCAGTTGTGATTTTCTCCAGGTCCCTGAAGAATCTCCGAGTGCCACCATCGAACCAGGAAATCGTGAGACCAGGCCGTATTCTTCATCAACCACCTGAGTTTTACTGTTTCTTGGTCGAAAGTGTTTGGGGTAAACATGGGAAAAAATGGGAAAACCCGGAGTCCTGAAACGCTGGCATCGAAACGGGAAAATCAAAAGAACATGTTGCTGCCATAGCTAGGTACTGTGGTAAACCGTTTATGCCATCAACATGGTCAATCTTTGGTAATCAAAAAAAATCAGCGGTTGCTGCTGGCTATGGATATTCTATGTGATTCTCCATTTATAGCACAAACACCTACTGGATTAAACTACCTATCCATCTATCCAAGGTTGGGGATGTCAACGGCTCTATCATTTGGGGATGGTTGTTCCATTCCACGAATGCATGGTGCATTCTTGGGGATACAAGGTAGTGCCCCCCAGTTATAAATTGGTTGATAATCCCCATTAACTATAGATATAACCCCCTAATCCATCCTAGTTATTGGACTTATAAACCAACTTAGCTAACGAACTGGGGCACCACCTTGTAGTTTATGGATGTTTATGGCATTCAGGGATACCCTGTGATTTTAGAAATTGGTGATGCACGACGAAGCAGGGTATTAACGAATATGTACGGATGGTCTACTACAGTTACAGACGTCCAACTGGCTCAAGAAGCCCTTACCCTCTTGTTATTTAACATAGCCATGGAAAATGGTCCATTTATAGATGATGTTCCCATTAAAACCTCCATTTATAAGGGATTTTCCATGGCTATGTTAAATAACCAGATGGTAACATTTGATCAGTGGGTTTAGCGGTGGGAAGGATATGCAGAGCATCATTTGTAAATTGTTAATCGCACCATTTTACGGCTTTGCGTAAACCAATGTACACAATTAGATCTCCATTTCTGATTGTAAAATCAACATAATTAATATTGGATACATTGCTCTATTGCTAACTTCAAAGAATTACAGCTCAAACGCACAATTTTTGAAGATTTGATACCCTTTGATGGCTCAAACAATCATCCATTTTGCTATCTGTATATGTAATTGTATTATACATATCATTTTATCTTCATAGTTTTCAAAAATGAATAGCAACAGCAACAACAGCAACAACAGCAACAACAGCAACAACAGCAACAACAACAACAACACATCATCATCATCATCATCATCATCATCGTCATCATCATCATCATCGTCATCATCATCAACGATCTTGCATTGAATACAGGTTTCACCAAATTTCACGCCTTTGCTACGAATTCGGACGTCGGATGAGGCCCAAGTCACACACCATTGTTGATGCCGGAGGAATCGGTGGCCACCTGGATTCAGTCAGATGGTGATGTTCATGGCAAAACAACACCAGAAACACCCAGAAAACCATGGTTTACAGCTATGGCCCTTAACAACTATAAATGGAAATATAACTCCTATAACTCAGGTTGTACATCATGACATAAAGCATAAAAATAACTGTTAGTTGGGCCATAACTGTAGTAGAGGGTGAACCATAATTTTGAACTCATCTTGGGGATATCATCAGAAATGGACAGCTAAGCTGCAGGATTTTTGGTGATTTTGGCTAATCTGATGTTGACCAACAGAGTGATATAACCAGCAGAAATAAATATTTCACCAAAAAAAAGGAAGATTTCACCAAGAAGAATGGGGGCATATTCACAGGAACCCATTCTGCAACTACGATCACAGAATCATGGATCATGCCAAACATATTTCCTTGAAAAAACACAGACATCACATATGCCTCGACCCAAATCGAAATAGTCCATTCACCTCATTCACCTACCAAACAAGGGTTTGCGCAGAAAAGCTTCTGGACTCTCTGGGTGCCTCGAGGACAGCAACTGCAAAAAATTGCAAAGTTTGCAAAGAAAAAAAAACATGGAGGTTTCCGACAATGGGGAAACCCAATATACCCTCTGGTTATCTAACATAACTATGGAACTTCCATTTTTAATGGGTAAATCCACTATTTCTATGGCCATTTTCAATAGCTATGTTTGTTTACCAGAGGGTATCATCAAAATATGTTCATTTTTGATGGGCCTTCCGAACTTCCGGTAAACGTTGAAAATCTATAGAAAATTACTTTACTTCGTGTGATCCCCACCATGACATTTATACATGTTCTTACTGGCACATCTTCTGGCATTCTATCTGACATATCTTCTGACATTCTGTTTGGCATTCTATCTGGCATATCTTCTGGCATATCTTCTGGCATTCTATCTGACATATCTTCTGACATTCTATTTGGCATTCTATCTGGCATATCTTCATATCTGGCACTGGCATATCTTCTGGGCATTCTATCTGGCATATGACATATCTGACATCTATTTGGCATTCTACATATCTTCTGACATCTCATATCTCTGGCATTCTCTATCTTCTGGCATTCTATCTTACCTGTGGCATTCTATCTGACATATCTTCTGGCATCTTCTTCTGCATTTATTCTCTGGCATATCTTCTGGCATTCTATCTGACATATCTTCTGGCATTCTATCTGGCATTCTATCTGGCATTCTATCTGGCATATCTTCTGGCATATATTCTGGCATATCTTCTGGCATTCTATCTGGCATTCTATCTGGCATTCTATCTGGCATATCTTCTCTATCTTCTGGCATATCTATCTGGCATATCTTCTGGCATATTTTCTGGCATTCTTCTGGCAAATCTTCTGGCACTCTATCTGACATTTTATCTTCCTACATGAGGTCCGGCAGGGAACACTTGGCGTGGATACTCGCGGTTGAGGTCCGGCAGGGAACACTGGGCGTGGATGGTCGTGGTTGAGGTCCGGCAGGGAACACTGGGCGTGGCTGGTCGTGGTTGAGGTGAGGTCCGGCAGGGAACACTGGGCGGGGATGGTCGTGGTTGAGGTCCGGCAGAGAACACTGTGGATCGCGGGTCGCAGTTGAGCAAGGACGAGCGGACGAAGAGACGAGGACGACAGAGGACGACAAGGATGACAAGGAGGACGAGGAGGAGGAGGAGAGGAGGACGAGGCAGGAGGAGGCGGAGGAGGAGGAGGAGAAGGAGGAGGAGGAGGAGGAGGAGGCAACTGACATAAAATCTAACAACCCTCACCTGGCAGGTGGGGAAATATCCATTTAGTTCGATGATTTCCCATTGAAACCTCTATGTATATTACGTTCATATGATAATTTAATATGGAAAACCGTTGGGGTTTCGGTGAACATCTCTGGCCGCCTGGCTTGAGTTGTTCCACAGCTTTGAGTTTTCTGAACTCAATTTAAGAATCACATTCCAATAGTTCACCGTAAATATAATGAAATACATTCCCCATATGCTCCATGGTGCTGGAATATTTACCAACATTTGCCGTAAAAATCATCCAGTTTTGTAGGTAAATATACCAGCACCATGGTTCGCATATGGGCATGGACCAAATATAAAAAAAAAACATACAAAATAATCTTATCATTGCCAATCTTAGATGCCCATGCTTTTCCCATGTTGACCTGGCAGGTTTGAGTGGCAACCTGGCTGCCCTGGCCCCGGGAACCCCATCTGGGTGCCCCAACAATGAGAGACACCTCAGCCGGTGAGCCCTCGGGGCCCGGTGAGCCCTCCACGCGTTGACGCAAGGCCTGCTTTTGCAGATCCTCACCAAAACGCCTGCCCGGCACTGCGCACTGCACGTTGGGGTTGCTACACTGCCCCACAGTTGACTGGCCATGTCATGAAATAATAGTATGAAATAGCGAAATCTGCAAGTAGTAGGTTTTTGAAATTATTTGTTAGGCCAGCTACAACTGTTCAGGCCTAAAATCGGTATATAGTGGATATAACCATGGTGATAACGCTGAATTCGCCTAATCAGAACCACAGGTTTCCCTTGAAATGACCAAGCAGCGTTCATTGAGGAATAAACCCACCATGTTATGGGGTTATACTGGTTATACTTGCTATATCTGATGCATATAAATAAATAAATAAATATATATATATATATATATATTTTAGATATATACCACCAACAAAACAAACCAAAATTTGGGGGGAACATCATCTCCGATACTATGTCAGAATTTATGTCAGAATACATGTTTTGAAAAGAATGCCCACAATCTTCTTGTCACGATGTATAGATTACAGTGGTGATCACGCGATGTGCATTTGGTTTATCAAAATAGACAAGAAACTAAACAAACCCCATTGATCCAACCCTCACTTTCATGGGACAACATACGTGCCATGGTCAACACATGACATATGCGGTATAAACACCCTAATCTCAAAATAGGAATCCTTTTTGTGGGCATGGATTGCTGACCAGCCCTCAAAATTGGCAACCTACCCAAATTTTGACGGAATCCTGCGCGAGCGAAGTCGCAGCACCAACGCCCCTTCCCGGTTAAGGGGGGTACGGGGTGTCAGAAGGGTAGCCCGAGGATGAAAAGAGATGGTGAACCATGAGACTGTACAACACGGATCAAGCCAAGCACAACTGCAAGCGGTTGACGCACGGCCAAGGCAAGCACTCTGCAAAAAACGCGTGGTAAGCAAAGGAGGTCAACGACAAGCCAAGCAACCTCAAATTTGGGAAATGTTCATTGGTCTCAGGGCCACGTCAACATGACACAAGCAAAACACGCCATAAGGACGACAACGGGCAAAGCCACATGTTGGGTCAAGCCACAAGTCAAGCTGGGAACACAGTACGTGTCATGAGCTCATCTCTTCTCCACCGTTTTCACTCTTGAGCTTCTTTGGCGGATTTTCTTTGTTCTGTAAGAGCCAGGAGCCATCAAGGTGCCACCAAAAGTCTTGTGGAAAGCTAACGCGCATTCATGGTCAACATCCAAGGCAAGACAAGTGAAGTTGGGAAACTCCAACCCTGGCAAGAATCTCGAGGCATGGCTCCATCCCGAGACCCGAGAAACCACCGCAGAAAAGTCCAATGACCTGGTGCATTCTGGGGTCGGCATCACACCACCTCCATCAGAGGACACATCCAGCAGGTCAGCAAAGACAAATGCAAGACAAAACACGGATTTGCAGCCTTCAACAGCACACGACCACTGGTCCATGGTGACCATCAGCAAGTACCTGTCTGTCACATCGTGAGGGCACCTTCCACGTGTCAACCTAAGTGACCTAAATTGGTCCCGAACCAAGCTATAGCGAGAATCCACACGGCAAGCCAAGAAGACACAGGACGTGCTCATCGAAACAACTTCCAAGTCAGTCAAGATGCAAGTCACTCGGTAATGGCACGGCCACGCAACAGGCGACGGAGTGAGGTACTTCATCATTTGGAAGAATGGCCCAGAAGTTAACTCCATGGCTCAATTGGTGGGGCGCCACGCCACCCCTCCCACCTCGCTTCGAGGAAGCTCGAGCCTTGAGTTGAGGCTACCCAAAATTTGACCATGGAACAAATGGTTGCTTAAAACCCGACTAATCTACAATCATCATTCCATCAATCATACAATTATGTGTTGTTATACTACTTAGCTTGATATCCCCGCAGAAACGCATATATTGTAGTAAACTAAACCAACAAACAGCTATCATAAATCATGCTATTAAATCCCCCAATTTTTGAGTTAAGCCTCCATTTTCCCAGATGTTCCCATATTTTCCCACATGTTCCATAGATGCCCCATATTTTCCATGGATTTTCCATAGATTGTCGCATGGTTTCCCATATCTTTGATGGGTTCACCACGATCCAATGGCGTGCCTTGGCCCTAGTCTAGAGGCGGCCGTGGTGTTGGCAGAGTACCTCGACATACTTGGGGCTGCGGGGTTCACGAATCGTAAATGGGTCAAAATTCCAACAACATATCGGAAATATATGGAATATCCTATATGGGACATATGGTTTGAAATATGGGGTTATATATGGATTATAAACATTTATAAACCACGGATCAAACTGGTGGATTTGGCTTTGCCGCAGAAATCGCTGCCTGTTTGGTTTAGGTTGGTTTAGTTCAATACAATTCTTGGGTTTTCTGGAGGATATATCGAATTAGTTAGATCGGCTTATCTTGAGCAATTTAGTGATATATCTATATAGTTGAAATATGTTGCAACTTTACTAAAGTCAAAATAATTCGTCTAACAGCCCACTGGTAATTTAACAGTTTAACTGGAAGATGGCCATATAAAAAGGATGGTGATGTTCAAAGGCTATGTTAGTTTACTGGAAGGGTAAGAAACGACAAAAACATGGGACATATATGGGTACATGGAAATATCATCAATTGGCCAATTGGCCAAGCTAACAAAAAATGGAGGTTTCCTAACCCCCAAATGATCCATGTCATTTTCGGATTTTCCATGAAATAAACCATCCAACTATTGGGGTACCTCGATTTATGGACACACCTCATGAAGGCCATGCAGGCAACTTGATAGCAATGGTGCAGCTGGTGTCGTTGGTACAACAACGCCTAATTAAGTGTTCTTCAGTTCTTCACAAGAAAAGCTTGGGATTTATTGGAATTTAATGGGATCTAGTGGAATGGTTCACCAGCAAAGATGGGGGCATAGATGGGCATAGCCAACAATCATCATGGGGATGTTGCGAGCAACGATTCCGAGTGTACGTAATTATGGACAACATGCCAGAGTTGGATCAGAGATGTAGGATTTGACATGCATCAAATCGTTTGTCCCATGGAACACTGCGAAATTCATGGTGTCAACACCCCGCATAATTTGGGCAAACTCATGTCATCTTTTTGCCATGACTTAGTCATACCCCGTTTTCCCATCCCATGAAATGCTGGTGAAGAGTTATCCCGGAATGATGGTTTATTATAATCCCCATTAAAGCAGATAGCATAATCCCCATAAGAAGCTATCAACTATGGTTTTCTAATGGCTCAATGATGTTAACATCATTGTTCCAGCAAACTGAGATGAACCAACCCAGCTGATTTTGGGTCAAATTTCTTTACCCACAGGGTCCCCGGAGCTGGAATCAAACATGAATGGGACATGCCAACGAACTACTAAGTGGAGCTTTATTTAACTGGGAAAAAACATCGAACTATAGCTGCGCATGTTCCAGTGCCACATTTGATTGCCAGGATATTAATATATATATATATATATATTAATATATATAAATACAATTATATATATATAAATAAATTACCTTGATAAATACATATATATATATAATATGCTATCCAGCACCAGCACCAGCACCAGCACCAGCACCACCACGACCCCACCACCACACGCCACCACCACCACCACCACCACTATCATCCTCGTCGTCGTCGTCGTCATCATCATCATCATCGTCATCATCGTCATCATCGTCATCATCGTCATCATCGTCATCATCATCATGTCACCATCATCATCATCATCATCGTCATCATCATCATCAATGTCAAGCTTGGCTTTCCCAAACGATCGTTTGGAGTTAGGGTCTTGGCCTCTAGATGGGGTTCTATACCAACTTACAACTTATAACTTATAACTATGGGGCCCCAGCAGCTGGTGCTGGTGCTGGTGCTGGTGCTGGTGCTGGTGGCGGTGGCGGTGGCGGTGGTTATGATGATGGTGGTGATGATGATGATGTTGGTGGTGATGATAATGATGATGTTCATGAAGAGGGCATGGTTACTTGTTCCATGGAGGTGGGACATGTTGTATCTTGTGAAAACCCAAAAGGAAACCCCAGCAGCGGCACGGTTCTCTTGCCAATCCGCAATGCAATGCTCATTTCGTCAACACCATTTCACTTGTGTGCGTTTAAAATTAACTGGTACTTACGCTTTTCTCTTACTGGGCAAACCACGGGGTCTGTGCGTAACTATACGATTCTATAGCTCTAACACCCAGAAACCCCAGTTATTGTAGTTATAAGTCAACTTAGCTATCAAACGCGGGCCTCATATTGTAAGCGGGGTCGGTTTTCCCAATCGAGATCACTGACTAACAATGCCAAGACGCATGTGAATCACACTGTCAATGGTGCGACCTCACCACCATGGCACCATTCGCTGACGAACACATGATTCACACCAAAATACCATAATTTTCATCGAGACGCACATGGCAACACAGAAATCTTGGAGTGTTTCCCCAGGGATGTTCATCATTTGCATCAAGTTGTGCACAAATTGGTAAACAGTCCGTTCGTAAAAACATGCCAAGTCTATTGACAGCTATAGCCCTTAGTAGTTATAGCTGGCTTATATATAGAGCCTCATTCTGGTGATATAGATATATCTATATAACATTATATAACCTTGGTTGCAGAATTTTGTTAAATGCAACGTTCATTTCATGGGGATCTTGATCGTCCATAAAGTGACTCTCACCATGAACATGGCTACAATCCCCAACAATCCACATTCACTAGGTACTCTCTGGCGATCAAACATGGCTTGCTGGAAAATCCCCCATTTGTTTCGGTGATTTTCTCATTAAAAACCTACCATCTATATAAAAGTTATAATGGGATAGTGAATGTTCCATCATTTTTTCGGATTTCCCCATTAAACTTCCATTTAGTTCGGCGATTTCCCATCTTGCCACGATTGACGCCTTGTTTTGGCTCAGGTCGTGACCATCAATTTGAACCCTAAAAAATGGCAAATGATGGTGTTCCTACATAGTGGGGCCTCCAGTCTCGTTACGTTTGCTGGCTTGGAACCTTATAAACCCATATATAAACCCGAACAAAATCTTGTAGTTTTAAACCTTATTGTATGGAGAATTCTGTTGTTGTCCTATGAAAAAAACGTATACTTTATTTGTACCAATTATTCATTATAGTCTTATACTGGTTGGTGGTTTCAACTCCTCTGAAAAATGATGGAGTTCGTTAGTTGGGATAATTATTCCATTCCCAATATGATGGGAAAGTCATAATCCATTTATGTTCCAAACATTTCCAACTAATATTCCATCACATTCCCATTGTTGCTGGTTTATAGCCTATGAAAACCACTATTAACCATTCTGAGCCAGGTATAATCATCTATAATCACAATTTTATAGCTGGGAAAACTCACTATTTCAACCGGGCCATTTTCAAGTTCGCAAACTGTAAGTCCGTTTACCATCCAGATCCCATCCATTTCTCTCCAAACGTCACCTGGATCCATAAAGAAGGCATCGCAGTCGATCCAAAGAATCCAGTCATATCTTGGACGCTGCTCCTCGGAGCTTACTTTCGCACGAAGAGAGATCTACTGGTTGGTGGTTGAGCCCCACCCCTCTATGAATGGTGATTTAATGGAGACTAATGGGATTTAATGGTGATTTATATGGGAGACTATAGATGGCCCATCGAAATAGATGGTTTACCGAACAGAACAATTGGTGGATATTCTATAGCGAACTGTTAAATTATCAGAGGGAATGATAAGCAAACTGGTTGATGGTTGAGCCCTACCCTCTGAAAAATGATGAAGTTCGTCAGTTGGGATGATGACATTCCTTTTTTTCTGAATGGAAAGTCATAAAACATGTTTGAAACCACCAACCAGCTAAAATCATCCCATTAAAATGGCCCAGTCGAAATAGTTAATTTACCCAGCTATAAAATGGTGGATCTTTCCATCGTTTTTGAAACCACCAACCATATTAATGACTATATCATTTATAATGGTTAAATATAAATCCCTATTGTAACTACCATTAAATCCATATTAAATCCCGATTAATGACTATATTGATGACTATATCTACGATGGAAAGGATCTCCTCTTCCATCTTTTTTTTGTCTTTGGAAAAATGGCAGGAAGACATCTTCCAACGAAATCGTCGACATGAAAATATCATCAGATAGAGGTTTTAATGGGAAACATATCTATAAAGGAGGAATTTGCAAGTGTTTTCTATGTTTGATTACAGGCTTTACATACTTTTTTTTGGTTATGACCTATAGAAATATCTAAATCTTACAATGTTTTGATCATCCCTAAAGATGATCACGGAATCTACTATACTAAGCTGATGAAATTTAGCCGGCCTGGTAAACTAACAGTTTGCGAACTGGAATGCTATGGAAAGATCCACCATCCTTAAGAGGTAAATCAACTATTTCGATTAGGGCCATTTTCAAGTTCGCAAACTGTAAGAGTCATTACCAGAGGCTATCTATGTCCCAAACTGTAAGAAATCGTCATTAAGCTACCTGGGGATCAACATCAACTCGTATTCCACCGGTGATGTGATCAATTTACTGGGTGGAACCCGTATTGGAATGGGTCTTTCTCGACCATGAGTTGACGACCTGTTGTGATAAATCTGGTTGTCTGAAAATAGGGTACCCCCTATTCCAATAGATTATCATACCCAGATGCTCCATGTATGGAATATTTACCTACATTTGGGTGATTTTTGGGGTAAATGTAGGTATATATTCCATACATGGAGCATATGGGATAATTTTCCCTATCAAAATAGCTATTTATGGGTATCCCCTATTTTCAAGCGAACCCAAATTTAAATGAATACCTAATGTTACCTGAACAATTATCCGTGGTAGATGGATGACACATCACACATGATCCATGATGTAACTGGGCGGACAGTTACTAACCCGCAAAAACGCGGAATTGCTTCTTGGAGAAGCTGCAACTCCTTAGTTCCTTTTTCCAAACAACATCTATGGAGGTTTCCTAACGGGGATCCCCAGTCGTCACCATAGGTTTCTCACTAAGTCATAGTCACCTGGATGATAGCTGGGGGTACCCCCAGCAATCACCGAGCTGAGCACCCACAGGGAGAAGAGAATATGGGCTGGCCTAACCCATATTAGCTCACCATGGTGCTGGAATATAGAAACCAACATTTGCCCTTGTCCAAAATCACCCAGTTTTGTAGGTTTTTATATACCAGCACCATGGTTCGCATCTGGGTAATGATGAAAACTGTTGAACTCACGATTTTTTGGAGCTTCAACTTAGTGACCCGGTGGCGGTTCAATGGCGAGCATCCAAGATGTTCTTCACCTTGGTGCAGGACAGCCTTGAAAGTTGATCACCAGATGAATTTCATGCATTTTCATGTTTGCAAAGACATTCATTTGATATATTTGATCTGATTTGTCTCTAAGTCCAAGTCAGTCTGAGTGTCTTCACATCATGATATCATTACCACATATTATTGTGCAGTGCGAATCATCGTTATTGTTCTCACAAAATTCTTCCCAATTGCCTAAACACCTGGCTTTGTCTGAGAATGGTGCATATCGCAATCCTAAAGCGGAAAATTATGACTAAAGACAATGGATTTATGGCTGGTTGGTGGTGCAACAACCATCTTGAAAAATATGGAACGTCATAAAATTCATGCTCCAAACCACCAACCATTTATGGCTATTTTTCAGGCAGCCAGCCATAGTGTTCCTCTGCCAGCCAGTCACGACGTTGACCTTCCAAAAGAACGGCTTATGCTTCCCGTCTTGGACGTCCATCCTGAGTCAGATCGAACAATCGGTAGCTGGTGACTGAAAGTTTAGCTGGTGACTGAACAGCCATGCTGCATCATTATTAGTGTTATTGTCATCATGATCATGATGGTAATTAATGTTATCATTTGTTTCATTATTTTCATTCCTATCATTCTTTATTATGTGGATTTATATCTCTGTTTACTATGAGATCCTACAAGTTGTTGACCGTTTTGGGGCGGTAGACGGATGCAGTAATACAGGCCATGCGCGTCCACAAATGATGCCAGGCCATGCCATGAAATGCCATCAAATCGTGGGAAAATTGGTGAGGCATTTGATGGCCATGCCATGAACTGAGCTTGATGGATGCCTTTTTATGGCGCCATGTACTGGGATATTCCATGGTGTTTTCAGTTTCTGTAACCATGCATGCCATGCATGCCATGCATGCCATGCATGCCATGCATGCCATGCATTTCTCTGAGTTTCAGCATCAACAAGACATCAGCAACGCTGAGCATCGATCTGAGACGCAAAGTTGGCTTGGATCTGTGACTTGTCCGTCACCTGATAAAGATCGTAGCCGTGGAGCTCTGCATAGACCCTAAGCTGCGATTTTTGTCAAAACCCATCGAAACCCCTTTTTGTTTTTGGATCAGAATAGCTGGGATTTATGGGATGTTTCTCCGCCTAAACATATCTAAACATAGTATTGTTAGAGTGCGGGACGTTGTGGGTCCCCAGTTTTTACGTCATTTTTAGCTGTTTTTTGTTATGTTTAATGCATTTATTTTATTTCTTCAAATAAATTCTTACTGATTAAGTATGGTTCTAGATATGACAAAGTTTATTCTAAGTTCATCAAGTTAAGACATAATATGAACATTTTTATTAAAATTATATACTGCGGCACATACCCTAAATCGCATTTGAATTCAAATAATGACGAAACAAAATCTATGCTACATATTGGGGATGCCAAAGCAAAGGAGTGTCAAAGGAAAGGGATCTCAAAGCCAATGGTATGTCACTGCAATGGGATGGCAGAGCAATATAGAGAATGCGGGTCGATAGAGTGGAGGCCAGCGCGATAGAAGTGGAGATATGACAGTGCCTTAGAGAATCAAATATGATATGGTTGCAGGAGTCTTGAAAGGAAGATCACGAAAAGAAAGATGAGCTGAACACCAGCTGCAAGCCACCTGATGAAACAAAGGCCAAGAAAAAGAGGACCAAGGCATGAAGGTTCAGAAAGTACCAAATGGAAAGAAGAAATTTCGTACCCAGACTCCGAAACGTTAATGTCAATCTATGTTTTTTTTCCGGTGCTTCATTTTGCTTCTCTGATTTATGGAAATCCATTATTTGGATGTTACAAGGGGTTGCGTCTTAGCAGTTCTAGGTTATACATATTTAAACAATATGTGTATTCACATGGACAATTTCTTGTATGGCGTGTTGCAATCTATTGCTGATTATGGCATTGAGACGTGGAAGATTTCATGAGCAAGCAGTAACGATTCAGTGCGTGCATCTCTTTTTTGTCCGACGAGCGAGACAGCTGTGAGAGATTTTGAAGCGGAACCGCTCTAGCACCTTTGATTTGATGCATTGCACCAACGAATGACGGAATTGCAAAATGATGGCGGAAGAGTTTGGGTTTGGGAAGATGTTGGAAATATCTTCTAGTCCACATCATCAAATCATTTCTGTGCGGGTCTCTTCAAGACGGCTTGCTTCTTGACCCTACACTTATATTTGCGGCTGGCTGGCTTCTGCAGCACGCCGGCTCGCTTCAAAGTGGACTTACGGGCAGACCAAGGATTGAGGTGCTGCATGTCATCTAATTTTTGCAAATGATTGTGTCGACGCGAGTAAGCCAACACATAGAATCTTTAGTGTTTCGCGTTCATGGAGTTGAATGTGGAGCTGTACCCACGGAACCACGAAAACACCTGTTCAGAAATCGATGTGTTGACTCTTTTCAGTCGCTTATCGATTGCTGGCACCACAGACGGGGAACATTTACATTTGTTGCAACGTCCCTTTGCGTGGAATTTGTCTACACACCAGAACTTGGCAGGCTTCAAATCCTGTGTGTTCTTAGCCTTCTTGAAGATGCAACAGGCTCGATCGTAGAGTACTGCATCCACTTTGGGATAATGCGGTAGCAAATTTTGCACAAGATCGAGCGCAACATCCGAATTCTCTGGATCTTTCATCTCAAAAAGGCCTAGGATGACTCCGGTCCCAGGGTGTGTCGCCATGAACCAGCCGTTGTAGAACAATTTGACATGGCCATCCTTCCGAGGACGACCACCGCGAGCTGGTGCTTCATGATAGCACTTTGTGGCGATCTTCTCGTGGCCATCGACAGCGATCTCTTTGACAGACTGCGACATGCGATGGGGAGTTTCGATGGTTTGCCACCATCGGTGGAAGTCCCGAAGATGCCCTTCATGCACAGGATCATCTACGCGAATTGTGCGAAGTTTCTGAATGGAAGTGCTTGGCATAGTGGATTTCCACATGACCGACAGTTCGCTCATGACATTCCAGAGAAGACCTTGTTTGTAATGCTGCAGAACAATGCATATATATATTCCTACATATTGATTGTTTCATCATGACAGACTCGTTCCAAACACAGTGGAGAAACTGATAATATACACATAGGGCTACCAATAGTATTAAGTAATTGCTCAACAGAAAACAATAATGATATATATATATATGAATATTCTCTTACATACATATACGAAAATTAAATATATATATATATGTACTGCATCAGACTGGTTAATAGATTGAAGCAATTTTTTTCATCCATACCAAGAGACGAGCCAATGCATAGTCCTTGTGAAATCGAGCGTGTGCATGGTCATCTGCCCATAATGCGTTCGTTTGGGACCAGGCGAAGGCGTGATTGCTCAAGTAGCCTCTGAATTGCAGGGCATCGTGATAAGCAAGGAAGGAGACGTGGAACCCGGTGTTGGCGGTCACGAAGATATACTCGGCCTGGTTGGGATCGAGCGAATTGGTCTTGATGCCGTTGCTCCACACGAAGTTGTAGTAGTGGGAGGCTGCCAAATTTCGTGGGTCAGGGGGTTTTGGGGCTGAGAAAAATGAAAAAAGGGTCGAAAGGAAAAAAAAGGATTTAAGGTTTTTTCCTTGCCCTGGCCAAGCCAGTGCATCTGCACCATACTGCTCATAATGCGCGCAAAATGACATTTCAAACTGTGTTTTCACCAAAAAACAACTAAAAATGTGCTAAAACAGCCCAAAATTGCCAAAAAACATGCTTCTACGTAGCTGATGCCAGCAAAACAGATGAAAAATATCCTGGCAATGTGATTTGGCAATGAAAAAAAAAGGGACAGTCACTTTTCCTTGATCAGTTAACCAGAAATATGACCAAAAATGAAAAAATCGATGAAAAATTGAATTTTTCGTTACTCTGACCCATAGATTGGTTTGTGAAAAAACCTTATCGCTGTCATGTCAGTGGTCACCATTCATTCCCATTGAAGAAAGCAATGGCCATTTTGACAAATATTGTCAAAATATCACCTAATCATGGAAAATTGAAGTGAAACACTGCACTTGACAACCCGAGAAATGGGCTACAAACATTCATAAAGCTGTCTCTCATTTCTCAGCAACACAAACTGCGATTTAAAAATGCAAAAATTAGCACACAATATGGTATATTTAGCGCTTGCAGAAGGTGAGTGACAAGGATGCGGTGGCGAGGGTTAAGACGCGTGGACAGAAAGCGCGTCGCCGCGAAACCGGGAGAAAGAACGCGTCCCAAGAATGTCCAAACAACAAGTCCGAGTCCGTCAAGTTCCCAAAGCTGTTGATTTTGATCATCAATGGAAATGCAAGTCTCAATCGCCAAGCTGAGCTTTGCAGCAAGCGTTCCACAAACATAGCAGTCGCAAACCCCCAGACCCTGCTCTAGTCCATCCAGCTATCCAGCCATCCGGCATGAGTTTCTGCTTCAAGTTCTTCAAATTCAAACTGCAAACCTTTCTTCGTGCTGAAAGTTAATTACAATTTGGACCCCAAATTCCACAGTTTAACTTTTCTTTGGCCCCAATGGCCGGAAGCGGTAGCGCTGTCCTTTTTTAGTTGAAGTTTTTACTGTTTAGGGTTTAGCATTTTTTTGGATTAATAAGCCCGAATACAAGTTTTCCTTTGGCCAGAAGGGCCCACGCGGTAGCGCTGCCCCTTTTTCATGTTTTAGGGTTTAGGGTTTAGGTTAGGTTTATATAATTTTCATTTCTTCCCAAATTTTGAATAAAACTTTCCATTGGCCCAGAAGGGCCCACGCGGTAGCGCTGCCCTTTTTTCTTTTTTTAGGGTTTAAGGTTTAGGTTTTAGGGTGGTTTACATTTTTGTTGTTTAGCTTCCAATTTCCGAATAAAAGTTCCCTTTGGCCCAGAAGGGCCCACGCGGTAGCGCTGCCTTTTTTTCGTTTTTTATAAGGTTAGGGTTTAGGTTTACATAATTTTCATTTGTTCCCAAATTCCGAATAAAACTTTCCATTTGCCCAGAAGGGCCCACGCGGTAGCGCTGCCCTTTTTTCGTTTTTTAGGGTTTAGGGTTTCTCGGGAGATTTACATTTTTTTGTTTGGCTTTCAATTTCCGAATAAAGTTTCCTTTGGTCCCAATGGGCTGATGCGGTAGCGCTGCTAACTTTAGCATATTGTATTTGTTCTTTTTTTGTTCTGCAACAGTAGTTCCAACCTGCCCCCCCCCCCCTCTATGACCGTTCTAAAATATTTAGGGCGCCGAAGGCGCCGAAAAAAAATACAGTACATAGTACTAGTACATAGTACATACAGTGCCTGCGCCAGACGCGAAAAAAAAACAAAAAACACCTCTATTTTTTTTAAGGTTTCGAAACAAGATGGAAAAGTTTTAGTTCCAAAAAAAAGAACTAAAACTTTTTCAGGTTTCAAAACAAGATGGAAAAAGTTTTAGTTCCAAAAAAAAAGAACTAAAACTTTTTCAGTTTTCGAAACAAGATGGAAAAAAGTTTTAGTTCCAAAAAAAAGAACTAAAACTTTTTCAGGTTTCAAAACAAGATGGAAAAAGTTTTAGTTCCAAAAAAAAGAACTAAAACTTTTTCAGGTTTCAAAACAAGATGGAAAAAGTTTTAGTTCAAAAAAAAGAACTAAAACTTTTTCAGGTTTCAAAACAAGACGGAAAAAGTTTTAGTTCCAAAAAAAACTAAAACTTTTTCAGTTTTCGAAATAAGATGGGAAAAAGTTTTAGTTCCAAAAAAAAGAACTAAAACTTTTCAGGTTTCAAAACAAGATGGAAAAAAGTTTTAGTTCCCAATTTTTTTTAAATTTATTTTTTTTTAAATTCTTTTTTTTTAAATTCTTTTTATTATTATTATTATTTTTTTAAATTCTTTTTTTTTTAAATTCTTTTTTTTCCTTAAATTCCAAAAAAAGTTTTAAGTTCTTTTTTTAGAACTAAAACTTTTTAGTTCTTTTTTTCAAGACTTCTACGTTGAAAATCTACATGAAATCCTTGAAAAATGATGCTTTTTTGATCAAATTTCTACGTAGAAGTCATTGATTTTCAGCTCTTTCTACGTAGAAATTTGCTCAAAAAACATCGTTTTCCAAGGATTTCATGTAGATTTTCAACGTAGAAGTCTTGAAAAAAAGAACTAAAAAGTTTTAGTTCTAAAAAAAAGAACTTAAACTCTTTTTTGGAATTTAAGGAAAAAAGAATTAAAAAAAAAAAATAAAAAAAAAAATAAAAAATAAAAATAAAAAAATGGGAACTAAAACTTTTTTCCATCTTGTTTTGAAACCTGAAAAAGTTTTAGTTCTTTTTTTTGAACTAAAACTTTTTCCATCTTGTTTTGAAACCTGAAAAAGTTTTAGTTCTTTTTTTTGGAACTAAAACTTTTTTCCATCTTGTTTTGAAACCTGAAAAGTTTTAGTTCTTTTTTTTGGAACTAAAACTTTTTCCGTCTTGTTTTGAAACCTGAAAAAGTTTTAGTTCTTTTTTTTGGAACTAAAACTTTTTTCCATCTTGTTTCGAAAATTGAAAAAGTTTTAGTTCTTTTTTTTGGAACTAAAACTTTTTCCATCTTGTTTTGAAACCTGAAAAAGTTTTAGTTCTTTTTTTTGGAACTAAAACTTTTTCCATCTTGTTTCGAAAATTGAAAAGTTTTAGTTCTTTTTTTTGGAACTAAAACTTTTTCCATCTTGTTTTGAAACCTGAAAAAGTTTTAGTTCTTTTTTTTGGAACTAAAACTTTTTCCATCTTGTTTCGAAACCTTAAAAAAAATAGAGGTGTTTTTTGTTTTTTTTTTTCGCGTCTGGCGCAGGCACTGTATGTACTATGTACTAGTACTATGTACTGTATTTTTTTTCGGCGCCTTCGGCGCCCTAAATATTTTAGAACGGTCATAGAGGGGGGGGGCAGGGCGGAACTACTGTTGCAGAACAAAAAAAGAACAAATACAATATGCTAAAGTTAGCAGCGCTACCGCATCAGCCCATTGGGACCAAAGGAAACTTTATTCGGAAATTGAAAGCCAAACAAAAAATGTAAATCTCCCGAGAAACCCTAAACCCTAAAAAACGAAAAAGGGCAGCGTGATGTTGACATCGTGATGTTGAAGTGGTCTACCACTACTTTTACATCATCTGACAATGACACTGCAACTGCAACTGCAGCTGCAACAACAACAACAACAACGACGAACCTGAATCTGAATTCAGAAGAAAAAAACTGAATTTTGGAATCACTGCGTCTCACTGCCCATCTCTCCATTCAGTCATGATTTACATAGATTATTTTTACAATTTACAAAGGTTCAATTCATTGACATATTGCTTCAAGCCTTCAACCTCAAGGCTTCGGGCTTCAATCTTCAAGTGGCTTCAAACACACTTGCTTTTTGGCAGCAAACTCAAACATCTAGGACAACCACACAGTGTGTCCAAAAATCTCTCAAACAAAGAAGAGAGGAGGGACGTGTGGAACCCTAAGATGGCAATCGCTAGACAGAGGAAGGAAAGCTTAAAACTTTCAAATACACATGCTTCCAAGTGCGGAAGTTCAACACCCAAATGGAAGTTTCCAGAGCGTGAGCAAACCAGCAAGCAAAGGCAGCGCAAGCACGACGCAGCATCACGCAACACCACACAATGTTTGAGCGCACCGCACATTCAGCGCTAACTATTTGCAACCAAAAGCAATGATGTTTGTCCACTTTTGACAATGCTGATTCGCTGGACTAGGTGCAAGAAAGCCACAAAATTGTCAAAAGTGGCAGTTTTTTGTTCAAAAACAAAAAATCACTTGAGGTTCAAACAAATAAAAGTCAGTCAGTCAGTATATCATGTTCATGGCACCATTTTTTTCCTCACAACTCATGGTTGTAGTTTGATGCACTTAGATGTTTGTGCTTTGTTTTGTAAGTTTCAGCCAAATTGGCCAGGTTTTTGATACATGTTTGGAATTTCCTCGCGTTTAATCATGTCATTTACATGCCAAAGAAGGAGGAATCAATGGTCGAGTGTCTTTCAGCCAAATTAATTTGATGACATGTTTCACAGAAATGGCACGCAATCCCGAATTTTGTGTGTTTTTCTTGAAAAACCTGGATGTTCCTCGCTGCAAAACACAGAAAAAAAAATCACAAAATTCAATAATTGCCATCATGGTGTTTGGTCGACTGACTCTGTTCAGTGGCATGTGCCATGTTCAGCACCAAAAACTGTATTTTACCGCCATTTTTGGCATTTCCATGAAACTCATCATGCCAGTTTGAAAAAGAAAAAACCACATTGATCATCCTGTTGAATTCAGAGATAGCAAGCACATTCATATGTTATATGATTTTTGCCCAAAAATGCCTCAAATTGGCCTTTTTTAGCTGCAAAATGCTGTTTTCGGCACCAAAACAGCCGAGCTTCGTAGATGACACTGTGTGTTTAACCTGTTGACAAGCTGGCAAAAAAGGGTGCAACCCTTGGGGATTCACCCCTGCAGCTGAAAACCTAAAATTCTTTTTTCCCCCTGTTGGCCCTTTTTTCAACCATACCCCCCCTGACCCACGAAATTTGGCATGGGAGGCTTGGCATGACTTCTGTCCACATCGCATAGGCTGGTGCAGGACAGTCTCGGGACCTTCGAGTCTATAAACTGTTGCCGTAGAGAACTGTTTGCGCTTGGGATATAGACAAGATCCACACAGAGCACAATTCTTGAGGGGTGTTCGCACGGACTTCACTGTGGAGGATCCATCCGCACGGCCACGACCTTGCAAGTGATATGCCTCTGACATCGACATTTCCGTCTTCAAGTGCATCTGTTTCAGTTCGAAGAAAGTCAATGCATCAGATTTTTCCAAAGCAGATGCAAAGGTTTCCCATCGAGCAGTCAATTCGAAAGAAGGAATCTCAGAATCAAATAGCCTTGCCTCATCCTCAATCATCACAAAGGACCACCAGTGTCCTTGACATTCTCCAGAACGTTCATGACAAAGGAAGGATCGGGTGCGCTGGGACAACGGAGAGCAACTCATCCTTGGAGATGCAATGCAATTGCCAAGCAGTGTCGGCTGCAGAGTCTGCATCTGCCAAAGCTTCATTGAATTGATGAGCGGAAAGCGAGGACTCTGGCTTGTCTTGCAAAACTTGGCGCCAACTACTGAGATCAACATGAGGTGCAACACCTTGAACAGCAAAGAGCAAACAGTTTGCCGGAGTGGAAGGAATTTCGACTTCCATCATGTTCACGATGTTCTTGCACACCAACATATGCAAGAAAGTCTTCATACTTTGCGGCTCACTTTTGATCTCGACGGGGATGATGTTGTGGGAAGTTTCTGCGCAAGCACGATGCAACCAAAAGAGATCTTGCACAAATGTGCACGACACAATGCCTCCGTCAAAGAGAGCAACCTCCATTTTCACATGCGCATGGGTCCGAATGGTGTCCAATAGGTCAGCTTCATCGAATGATAGCAAAGAACAAAGCCGACTGAATTCAGGATGTCTGCGATCATTGTACAAATCAGAAAGATGAGTATGTCTGTGATCTTGTAGAATCAGATGAGCAGCTGCCTGAACTTCTTCCCCAAGCTTGCGGAGCCATGGAATATCGAAACGCGGGTTGCCACCGTAGAAGATGCGGAGAAGTTCCTTTTTTGCCTCCTGGACATCAACGCAAAGATACTGAGCCAAAACTGACCGCCATGACTTGTAGTTCTCACAGAAGAGACGAAGCATCTGGAAACTACCTGCCTCGTCCAATCCCATATCTCGAAGTTTTCGCAAGAGAAGACGAGGATGGCAACAAGCTGCATCAATCTCAATGGCATGGGGGAAGGCTTTTCCACGAGCTTCTCGAGTGAGTTTTTGTGCAGCAGGGCCACGAGCAAGTAAACGACCATAATTGGGGGCCTTGTAGTACCCGACAGAGACAGTAGAAAAGCGCCCCACGCGAACTCCTTCAGAAGCATGACGATCAACATAGGCCCGAAGCTGCGAAGTCCTTCTGTCTGAGCCACTTTCCAAGTAGGCTTGCAAAGCCTCCAAGTCCACTGTTTCCTGCAATGTTGCTACAGTCGGCCGGATTTGAGATGAGAGACTTCCGTGATGCGTGACATTTCCTTGACATTCATTTTGCAAGTCCACAAAGAGATTTGACTCCCATTCTTGCTGCAGATGCCGCAGATCAAAGGTGCAGCCCCAATCTTTCCACTGACCGAAAGCAAGCGCACCACCATGAGCATCCATAGCTGCAGCCAAAGAAGCCCAATCCACCAAGAGTTTCTCGAAAGCATGCTGATCATGTTGACGAAAGAGTTTGATGGTGGAGTGATCCAAGGCAGAAAGAAAGAACTGCAACTTGGTTCGTCGACCACGGGTAGACTGCACAGCTCCTGGAATATCTTCAACCTTTGAAATGAGATACTCCTTGATGAATGTCTTCATGGGCGTTTTCCGATGCACGATCGTGATCAATTCGTCGTTGTCTGGAGGTCAATGTCTGTGCCTGGAGGAGGGCCATTCCAGCCGGACAAGCGAGAAGCCAACCAATTGGTGTCGTTGACCAAGTCCTCATGTACATGGCTAAGATCCAGGATCATTTTCAAACATTCATCCAAAGAGTTTTCCTGAAAGAAGGGCAAGCACCAATCTCGAAAGAAACATGAAGCCGTTGCAGGATGTGTCAAGAAAGGGACCAGCTCATCTTGCGGAATGAGACGGAAAACCCCGTGTTCATAGTTCACTGCATGGTCGTCAAGCACGAAGCGAGCCTTCCCCATACGAAAGCAAACGATGCGACGCTTGAGACAAGCCTGGAGTCGATCTCGACACTCCTCGATGGTCGGGATGTTCTCAAAGTTGAGTTCCTGAACTTTCATAGATGACCCAAATCGTCGTTTGGATGTAAATCCATAATTGACACGACAATCTATTTCTTCATCGACGATGAATCTTTTCCAAAGATCTGCAACGAATCTTGCGTGCTGATCCATTTCCTGGATACGCACATTCGCCTTGTTCCATGCAAACTCGGCAGACTTGCGGAACTCCTGACGATCCAAGAACACGCCACAATCCAAAGTTGCAGATTGATCTTCACCTAATACAGCACGATCAAGATAAGCTTCCATCCCCTTGCCATCGCCGCCTTTGCCAATCTCGAAGATCATCTTTGAAGTGCAAGCCTTTTTGAATGCGGCATGTAAAAACAAAGTTTCACTTGAAAGATATGTTCGTTCTGAAAGTAGAGCGACTCCAAGAACAAACGTAATCCTTCTTGATGCTGTTGGAGATTGATGTTCGGATACTCCTGCAAGAGGTTTTCTATGTAGAAGGCATAGTCCACATGCATTTAGCAGTCATTGGACGGGCTTTTGCTTGCAGGTTTCCAATCTGCATCCAAGTACACGTCTCTGAAGCAAACACCCTGTGACTTTGGCAATGGAGTATCCCATTCAAGAAGAAAAAGCTTTGAGAGTGACTGGACCTTGTTCGAATCCCAATTCACTCGGAATGAAGCTAGCATGTCTGCACATCGACGAAGACAAAGTGCTTTCCATGCCTTGTTGGATGTGACTTGCCGCGGATGGTCACTTGCTTCTTTGGCCACATTCCCGAAGAAATGGAGAGCGTCATGGACATGTCCTTGGATCGTATTAGAGACAACATCCCGAATAGCATTCCAATTCCATGCTGGTCTTGCATCTCCTTCTTGATCTTCGAAGTGCTTCGAGACGGTCAACAACAAACCTTCAACAGCAAGAAATAGATCCCAGACTTCGATGGTGAGAGACGGCTTCATCTTCCACACACCATTCTCATAGTAGAACATTTGACGATCATGTGCACGCCAGTGTTCACCATCAACAAGCATAATGAGAAGAAGCTTCTGCTTCGTCGACATTTGGTAGTTGGAAACATTCATGGATGCGATGCAGTTCATGAGCTCCATCATTGTGCGAACATGGACAGGAAGATTTGGATAATTGTTGCTACCCCATGTGCGATAGTTCTTCCATACATCCAAGAGTGATTTGGCTTGTTCAGGTCGAACATCAGGAGGAGGAGGAGCGAGATGGGCAGAGCGCTGCACATCGGAAAACGCACGGAACCTGAAAGAAAAGCAGGAGACAACTCAAGTCTATGAAGCGGTCTGCCACAGCCATATGAACAACATGAAATACGAAACTGTATGGCTAGAGAAATCCGAATACTGGAAAGCTGGAAACATACGTCCGAGAAACAGATCACGACCACGTAGACGCTTCGCAGGAGGCGCATCGATTTCGGGCGGTTGCACTTCGGGCGATGAGGCTTGGAGATGTGCTCCATCCGGATAGTCGGCGTCCATCGCCATCTCGATCTCTTGAGTCAACCCCACTGACTCAGACATGAGCAACGATGGACGCACAAAAGACAAAACTTAGGAAGTTCGTGAGCTGGTCAGGCGTGCTGCGGGAGAGTAAACATATGAAACACAAACATGATCGACGAGACTGTCGAAGTTCATGCGCACATAAGTAATATGCGGACCAATACTTGACAGGCAAAGATGAATGCTGACAGTCGAGAACACTCGAAAGACAACATCTAACACAAATCAAAAATGCGGCTGCCAATGTTGACATGCAATGATGAATGCAGAGTTTCGAGAATGTTTGGAAGACAACATGCAACGCAAGACAGCGTGCACGTAATTTCTTTTCCGACCATCCAAGTCCAATCGCTAGCACGGAGAGACATATGCTGATACGTCTTTCCATGACGTGTTCATAAATGTGGCATCACTGGAACAATCGCCCGAGACGATCAAGTCCATACTAATTGCAAGAAAAGAAGATTGGCATTGATCCATTCACTATCTGCACAGTCATCAGCGGGATCAGGTAACATCGGACGAAAACGAGCATGCTCATCGACCTCGAATGGGCAAAGTCGACGAACGATGCGGTGAAGATCTTGCCGACGGCCTTCTTCGTCACAGACTTGGATGGAACGTAACAGCTCTCTGGCTCGTTGCATTTGTCGTTCCCAGATGTTCTTTGGCACGATGTCATCGACGCGAGGGATGAAAGGTTGAACATTGGCATAGCGCAGAATGATCTCGTCATATTTCCGCACCATCCCATCTCGCGCCATTGTCCTCTTCATGGAACGCTGGGTATCGGAAAGCATAGGAGGTGGTCCAGAGGCCATTGCTTCGAAGAATCTTTTACACAAGTTTATAGAGCGAGCGATATGCAGAGCCAGACTGCACATGAGAAAGCACAGTCAGAATCAACAAACAGCATGAGTGGATGCTGGCAGTGTGACAAGCGATCCGGAATTTGTTGCAGCTGAACTACAGATTAGAAGTATCGTGAATATAATTCTATTTATTGTCGTTTTATAGATATTGTTATTTAATTTTTTTTGACCTTTTGCAGAATATGGATCGTGATCCTTATTTGGTTGAACATTCAAGTATGATTGCATGCATGATGGCCCAGGGAGCCAACTAGAGACAAATGACTTTTCTAGCAGACAAGATACCCTAGAGAGTTGCCAAGAGACAGATGCACGTGTAACGGACAAGGATGAGGCTGAAGACTCAATGGCTTAAAGAGCCTCCAAGGTACAGACGAGTGTGCAGCAAACATGATAGCCCAGAGAGTTATCTGGAGACAGACAACATTGTAATAGACAAAATAGCCCAGAGAGGCACCTAGAGACAGATGACATTGCTTGAGGCAAGATAGCCCAGAGAGCCATCCAGATTTTTTATCATCTTATTCTTCGTGTTCCCTTTATACCTGTTCTCCTTTTGTTTTCTTGTCAAGGCCATGGGAAATCGAAGCAATGGAGGGGATCCCAGTCTGCTTACTATGGGGCAGAGACCAATCAAACAGAATAGGAGACAGGACAGTGTCTCCCTAGATGGGCTATCTTGGTGGCTCTAGGTGGCTCTCTGGGCCATCTTGCCTGCTACAGCCTCGTATGGTATTCTTATGGGATTTCCAGTGGGTTCTTATGGGATTTCTATGGTATGTCTATGATATTTCTATGGAATTCCTATGAGATGTCTGAGGGAAATCTATGATATTCTTATGGGATTTCTTTGTGGTACCTATACTAATTCTATGTTATATCTATGATATTTTCAGATGATTCCTCCCCTCCCCTAGCTGGGCTATCTTGGTGGCTCTAGGTGGCTCTCTGGGCCATGTTATCTGCTACAGTCTCATATGTTATTCTTATATGATTTCCACTGGGTTCTTATGGGATTTCTATGGTATGTCTACCTTGTTAGTTTATACGCCTGTCCGTTGCGTTTGCAAACACTCTTCAAAGCAAATTATCAGGACGCATCAGGTAAGCATATGAGATATCCACAGAAACAAGAAAAATAGCAAGAAACAAGAACAAGAACAGAACACAAATGTAAGAAGCTCCACGACAAGAAAAAATATATCTGGGTTTGCTCTATAGGCCGTCTTGGGAGAGGTAAAGGGGGGGGTCAGCCCAATGTTTTTTGTTTTTCGTTTGTTTTCTGTGTGGCTCTTTCTTTCCTGTGAATTAGAAATATAATCAGAGTCAGGTGTTCCTCAAGTCTGCTTGTTAGTGACACTACAGATTCATAAGCATGAATTCCGTAGACGTAACATTTTTCCTAACAAAGATTCATATGTAATCTGTCACGTCGTCTGTCCAGACATGTGGAAACGTGGGAACTGAGAAACGTGGGGACTGAGAAACGTGGGGACTGAGAGCGTCCCTTTCTGAAACAATAATCCCACAAGATGATCAAATACATCATACAACTCGCTATTCGACAAATGTTCAGTACCCTCTGTTCTCCCTTTTCACTACTAGGTTAAAAACAGATTTTCCACCTCATGGATTGCGACTGCATCCCGACAAAACTTGGGTAGCTTTGGATAGTAGAACCCCATATAATCATCAGTCAACAGGGGCTTAGCAGCTCCTGCTCAGTAAAACCACAGTTGTAATTTGGTTTATAAATCCCATGAACCATAGAATACCATAGATATATCTGGCTGAATTATACCAATTCACTGACCTGAAATAGCTGAAGTACAGCAACTTGAGAATGATTCCCCTTTCTGAGCATCATTCCAGTGACGTTACGACGTGAGGTTGCTAATTGTTTACACAGCGAGGTCACTAGAATTCATCCAGAGCATACGCATCCTATAATTTTCATATATGTTCATGTTAGTAAACACAATATAACACCAGAATAAATCATCTGAATCATCCCCAAATTGACGGTCCGCCATAGGTGGTCTGAAGCATAAGCGCCCTTGGACCCTGGGACCTCGTCCAAGTCGAAGCTTCCAAATCCACAGCAGGGCAATCGCCAAAAGGACCACTGCCTTTCGAGGCGTCGCGTCCCGTCCCATCAGTCCGTCCAGTCCCAGTGCCGGAGGGAATTCCATCTGAAATTGATGGGTTTTATGTAATGTTTTAATATGTCTTATGTATATGTTTATTGTGGCTGTCATTATGGTGTGAATTAGATGGTTTGATGATTGCGTTTTGACCAGCAAAAAGATTCAAGAGTAAAATGATGCTAGAATAAGGCTTATAAATAAATATGAATACATTTAATGTTCCATCTTTTTGGGTGTTATTGTTTTTAAATTAAATAATATGATGGTTTTGTAATGTTGTAACTATACAAACCATGAGCAACTAGGCTTTCTTATGAGGTTCATCAGCCTAAGGATCAAAACCAAACGGCGCCCTATACCCTTCTGTTCACATAAGGTGATAGGTCTTCTTCGTGAATACTCATCCACGCATTCATCCCTTTTTCTTGGGCTGGCACCGCCAGATATTATACGTGGCCATTTTCAGCTATCAGATGTGATAAAATGGGGGCAGCATCCGATTATAGAGATGTCATACCCTTGGTGTTCTTGGTAAACTAGTTGATGCAAGTGTAGTCCGCAACCAAACGCCTGAACCAGGTGGTATTTTCTGCCACTTTGTCACTAACGGGGGCATCAAGCAATAGTCATGGATCAAACCAATGAACTTCTATGAAACCCCGAGACTGGATGGTTCTGTACTGATACCAACCAATTCAAATTCTATTGCTACCGCAACTTCGATGATTTCCTATTACGGTAAAACGTCAATGACCATGGCATTGGAGAAATGGAAATTCCCAACAAAAAGGCAATTCAAACCCAGCATCTATAAATATCAATAAATGGGGTATCTTTATACCCTACATCTCGCCGGCCATCCGCCCCAGGCGCGCCCCGGCGCAAAGCCCGAAGCGGAGGAACACCGCGCGGGTTTCCGATGGCATAACAACCTTGCTTCCGGTGGAACCCTCTTTTCCATTCGAAATGGGTCCAGGTGTTTCTTGATCTCAAATAAAAGGCATTCATATTCATATCATTCATCCAATTCGGGGAAATTCATGGAATTACCGACCTGGCAAAAATATGTCCCTTCGAATTCAGTTATTACCCTGTACTCACAGATTCTATTGAAACGGATAAATGGGGAATGTATACACCCCCCCTCCCTCTACAGAATCCACAAACCTCATCAAAATGGCCCTCTATAGAATCTAGGAGTACGGGGTACTGACTTAATGCACCATTTTTCTTGAATTCCCCTCTATAGGATCAGAGCCTTTGAGAAGGCACGGTGCACACGGGTTTTTCTCAATGTTGACTTGGCCCATCTGCAAAACGCATCGGAAAATAATGTTTTCAAGTCCTTTGTAGACAATAGGTGACAACAGGCACGCAATTTGAAAATTGTTTGCTTCTTTGTCCTACTATTTTTGGAACCCTATAAACCCGAACTAATCACCTCATGCAATAAATGTAGGGGAGCAGGGTTCAAAACAGCTCTTCATGTGTATTTGGAGAGGCAAGTGAGGAACCACATGAGGAGGGAGGGGCACAAATCTCAAATCCTATTCGTTGATATCATCAACCATTGTTGACAATATATATAAATAAAATTAAAGGAACTTGAGAGCAGAGATCTTCTTACTTGCCCAATTTGATAACAAGAATAACACTCTCTACAATGACAAAATCAGGCTCTTGAAACAAAAATTACCCTCTATAGAATCAGAACCACCATGTCGAGGACGTTTGGTCCAAAACCCCGCAAGAGGCTCACTATAGAATCAGAACCAGAAAATACACCTCTATGGAATCAGCACACCAGTTTCTAATGCAACCAAAAGGCGTAATTGATAAATTAAAGGACCAGATAACCCCACATGTCAATTTCTCCCAATAAGTAGCAAAAGAAAGGTGAAGACGGGATGGGAAAGGCAGGCAAGAGAAAGGAGATGGTGGAACAGATCGAGTGAGAGAGTTCTGTGTAAGAAGGTTGTGTGTGAGAAGGTTTATAATA